TACTATCTTACTACTACTATAATACTATTATTATTATTACTACAGTGATCAGTAATCTTTGATGTTACTATTGTCACCATTCTGGGATGCCATGAACCACACCAGTAAAAGTGAACTTCACTGATGAATACTGTATGTGTTCTGACTGCAATACCAACTGGCCGTTCCCCCATCTCTCTCCCTCTCCTGGAGCCTCCCTAGCCCCAGAAACATAATATTGAAATGAGGCCAATTAATAATATACAATGGCCTCCAACTGTTTAAGTGAAAAGAAGAGTCACACATCTCTCACTTTAAATCAAAAGCCAGAAATGAATAAGCTCGATGAGAAGACATGCTGAAAGCTGAGACAGGTTGAAAGCTAGGCCTCTTGCACCAAGTAGTTAGCCAAGTTGTGAATGCAAAGAGAAAGTTCCTGAAGGAAATGAAAAGTGCTACTCTAATGAACCCATGAATGACAATAAAACAGAACAGGCTTATTGCAGACACGGAGCAAGTTTGAGTGTTCTGGACAGAAAATCAAACCAGCCACAGCATTCTTCAAGCCAAAGCCTAAACCAGAGCCAGGCCATGACTCTCTTCAGTTCTGTGAAGGCTGAGAGGTGAGGAAGCCACAGAAGAAAAAGTCTGAAGCTGGCAAAGGTTGGTTCATGAGGTTTAAGGAAAGTAACCATCCCTGCAGCACAAAGTGCAAGGTGAAGGAGCAAATTCTCCAGAAGATCTAGCTAAAAGATTAACAAAGGTGGATGCACTAAACAACAGATTTTCAATGCATATGAATCAGCCTTCTATTGGAAGAATATGCCATCCAGGACTTTGAGAGCTGGAGAGGAGAAGTCAATGCCTGCCTTCAAAGGACAGGCTGATGCTCTTGTTAGGGGCTAATGCAGCTGCTGACTTGAAGTTGAAGCCAATGCTCATTTACCATTCTGAAAATCCTAGAGCCCTTAAGAATGATGCTAGACCTACCTTGCCTGTGCTCTATAAATGCAAAACAAAGCCTGGATGACAACACAACTGTTACAACATGGCTGACTGAATATTTTAAGCCCAGGGTTGAGACCTATTGCTCACTGACAATGCACCTGGTCACCCAAGAGCTCTGATGGAGAAGAACACCGAGATGAACGCTGTTTGCATGCCTGCTAACACAACATCCATTTTGTAGCCCATGGATCAAGCAGTCATTTTAACTTTCAAGTCTTATTATTTATGAAATTCATTTTGTAAGGCTATAGCTACCACAGACACTGATTCCTCTGATGCATCTGGGAAAAGCAGATTACAAATCTTGCAGAAAGAACTCACCATTCTAGATTCCATTAAGAACATTTCTGATTCACGGGAACAGGTCAAAATAGTAATGTGAACAGGAGTTTGGGAGAAGTTGATTCCCACCCTCATGGATGACTTTGAGGGGTTGAAGATGTCAGTGGAGGAAGTCACTGCAGATGTGGTGGAAACAGCTGGAAAATCAGAGTTAGAAGTAGAGCCTGAAGATGGGACAGAATGGCTGCCATCTCATGATCAAACCTCAGGAGGAGATGCTTGTTATGGATGAGCAAAGAAAGTGGTTTCCTGAGATGGGAGCTTCTCCTGGTGATGACCCATGAAGACTGTTGGAATGACAATGAAGGATTTAGAATATTATATAAACTTAGTTGACCAAACAGCAGCAGGGTTTGAGAGGATTGACTCCAATTCTGAAAGAAGTTCTACTATGGATAAAATGTTATCAAGCAGCATCACAAGCTACAGAGTAATCATCCATAAAAGTCAGTCAGTTGATTAGGCAAACCTCATTCTTATTTTAAGGGCTTGCCACAGCCACCCCACCTTCAGCAATCACCACTCTGACCCGTCAGCAGTCAGCAACACGGAGGCAAGACCCTCCACCAGCAGAAAGACTGCAACTCCCTGGAAGCTCAGAGGACAGCACTGTTTAGCAATGAAGTCTTTTTTTTTTTTAAAGATTGATTCATTTATTTTAGAGAGATAATGAGTGTGAGAGTACTACAAGGAAGGGCAGAGGGAATGGGAGAGAAAATCTCAAGTAGACTCCATACCGAGAGTGGAGCCTGACTCGGGACTCAATCCCACGACCCTGAGATCCTGACCTGAGCTGAAACCAAGAGTCAAATTACCCAACTGACTGTGCCACTCGGGTGCCCCAACAATGAAGTAATTTTTAATTAAGATATACATTATTTTTTAGACATACGCTACTACACACTTAATAGATTACAGTATAATGTAAACATAGCTTTTATATGCACTGGGAAACCAAAAAATTCATTTGACTCACTTTACTGCAATACCTGTTTTATTACAGTGGTCTGGAACCAAATCCACAGTATCTGAGGTATGCCTGTATGTTCTTTTTTTTTTTTTTTTTTTGGATATTCTAAGAAAGACTTATATAAACTGCATTTCCCAAGCAGAATTAACCACAAGAATAATTAGAATTGTAGCAAAATGCATTTGATTGGTAAAGTGGTATCAAAGAACACCCATCAACAAAGTTTACTCCCAGCTAGGGAAAAAAGGGAGGTTTTCCTATCTGCAAAGAAATACATAACCGGGCAGCCTGGGTGGCTCAGCCGTTTAGCACCACCTTCAGCCCGGGGCCTGATCCTGGAGACCCAGGATCGAGTCCCACGTCAGGCTCCCTGCATAGAGCCTGCTTCTCCCTCTGCCTGTGTCTGCGCTCTCTCTCTCTCTCTCTCTCTCATAAATAAATAAAATCTTAAAAAAGAAAGAAAGAAAGAAAGAAAGAAAGAAAGAAAGAAAGAAAGAAAGAAAGAAAGAAAGACAGACAATTTAAAGCAAATGACACACAGAGGCAGGAAGGTAAGCCAAAAGAAAGTGGCTAAAAGAAAATCCCAAAGGTCTTAGAGGCTCTCTTGTTAGTGATCAAAGGCTTGAAAAGTATGCCCACAAAAGGGAAGTGAGGCAGAGGGCAACCACAGCTATTTCACATTTCTCTTAACATCCAGAATCTCCCAGAATCTCTTTTTCATGCCCCACCCTCCAGAATAACAAAATACCAACACCAGAAGATGCTTTTAATAGCCAGAGCTTTAAGAATATAGTTCATGAGGGGCTCCTGTAGGGCTCAGTCAGTTAAGTGTCCGACTCTTGATTTAGGCTCAGGTCATGATCTCAGTGTCCTAAGATGGAGGCCTGTGTCAGGCTCCACACTCAGTGTGGAGTCTGCTTGAGAGGCCCTCTCCCTCTCCCTCTGCCCCTTCCACTCGTGCTCTAAAATAAATTTTAAAAATATTTTTTTTAAAAAAAGAACACACGAGGAGAGCCTGGGTGGCACAGTTGGTTAAATGTCTGACTGTGGGTTTTGGCTTGGGTGGTGATCTCAGGGTCATGAGTTCGAGCCCTACATTGGGCTCCCAGCTCAGCACAGAGTATCAATCTGCCTCTACCCCTCCTGTTCAGGCATGCTCCCTCTTTCAAATAAATAATAAAATATTTTTTTTAAAAAAAAGAGCATATAGCTGTCATCCTGTCTCATCCCCCACTGAGACTGGGATCCTGGATCCACATCTTATTAACTGTGTGACCCTGAGCAAGTCATAATCTCTCCAAGCCTTACTTTCCTTAGCTGTAAAATGGGATAATAATAGCTACTTTTAAAGGATTAAAGGATTAAAGATAATTTTTGAGGATTAAAGATACTGTTTGTAAAGCACCTGACAGTCTCTGACATATAAGACATGCTTTAAATGTTAGCTACTGTTATCACCAACAGCATTCCAAATACCTCTCAGGTCCATTTCATCCACACACAAAAAAACTGTTTTATGATTTACTAATTACTGGCTTTATAAATCATTTTTGTTTTGCTTAAAAAGGGTAGTATTAAAAAATAAGAATTGATGATAGGGGATCCATAGCTTCTTACCTATATGACTGGATCAGGTTACCAGCCCAGAAAGTTTATCTCCCATATATCTCTTACCACTTACACTTAAGTAAGATCTTAAGTTTAGTCAGAAAAGAGTGAGCCACAATATTGTCCTCTCATGTGGTGCTATCAAACATAAAAGGTAATCTTTTGACTATAAACCCAAGAAATAAAGAATATCAGCATAATTCAATCCAATTAAGCAACAAAAATAAGGCAGCGCAGGTGGCTCAGCAGTTTAGCGCCGCCTTCAGTCCAGGGCATGATCCTGGAGACCCAGGATCAAGTCCCTTGTCGGGCTCCCTGCATGGAGCCTTGCTTCTCCTTCTGCCTGTGTCTCTGCCTCTCTGTCTGTCTCTGTCTCTCATGAGTAAATAAATGAAATCTTAAAATATATATATATATATATATATATATATATATATATATACACACACACACACACACACACATATATATATATATATGAACTTCCACAGGTATAAATTTAGCCAAACAGGTACTCATTTACCTGGATTTGTTTCATCTCTCAAGAGTTCAAGGAGGGGAAAAAAACCCCATTTCAAGATATGAAGCTCTAAGCAAACCTAATTTTTAAAGCAATTAACTTCCAGAGTACATTCTACAACCAGAACAAAGTCACTATAACCCCTTTTTATTTATTTGTACTATTTTTTTTTCTTAAAGTAGGCTCACAACCCTGAGATCAAGACCTCGGCTGAAAACAAGAGTCAGATGCTTAACAGACTTAACCACCCAGGTGCCCCTATATATTTATACTTTTAAACTGAGATCTAATGTCATACGCATAACCCTGAGTCACTCTAAGAATCAACAAATTATGTTTCCTGAGCTGAAACAGTTAGTGGTATATTTTAGAAATAATTTCTACACTTTAAAACTGTTTCCTGTCCAATCCTCTATTAATCAGAACATGAAATTAACCATAAGTCACTCTTTCCCAAAAAATCATATTAACCAAGAATTTAATGTATTCTTAAAGGGCTTTCAATTTCTATCCAGTCCTGTCCAAAATTATTCTCATTCCTAAAAGTAATGTACAGATAGAAATAAAACTTACTCAGATTTGCTGTCATGGATTCTAAATCTGCTAATAAGCCTGGAAGCTGCTGGAGCTGCTCCTGTAACTCGACTAGGCTTGTCCTCTTCTTCTCCCAGTGTGCTGAAAGCATAACCACCTCGCTGTCCACCAGCTGCAACACAGAGGAGCAAGGGTAAAGTAAAAGACTTCAGGAGTGAGGAAATGACAGCATAATGTGAGTTACTCACTGTTATCTTTTAAACTCCTCTACTGAGTATCCACAACAGGACCCCCTAAAGAAAACTGGAACTGTCTTCTTTCTTAGAAAATCACCAACTTAACAGTCAGTGCAGAAAACCTCAAATTACTGCTTGTCTGCATCTTAACCCCAGGGAGGAGAAAGTTCAGAGATGACCTTAGAAATCACTTCTAAGTATACCCTGTTTCTAAGTAAACCATGTGTTTGAAAACCCAAATCTAGAAAAAATACATCAAAAACCCAACATGAACAACCAAAAAGAAAACAAAAACAACCCAAACCACAATTACCAGGTAATTACTTGCTTTACAAAAGGAATTTTTTTAACAGAAAAGTTACTGACTGCATTTAGAATATATATGATTCAATTTATAAATAGGAACACACTGCATAAAGGAAGGTAAATAGTACTTGTATGGGAAGGACTTGAAGCAAGTGATGGATTCCAGAAAACAGGAGAAAAGCATTTATGTTCACAAAGAAGGAATTCAGATGTAAAGCGCTCCTCATAGCAGGGCTGTGGCTGAAAGACTGGACTGGACTGAAAGAATTCTAACTTCTTTCACTGCAGACTGTGAAGAAAAAGACAGACACCAGATTCTCCCAGACAATTCTGTTTGGGTCTTAACACGGTGGGAGGGAAAAGGCTTAGAATAAGATTTAGAAGGAGCATGGAGAGGTCAGCTTTTGAAAACACCACCAAAGATAAGCAAGAATTGTGAAAGATAACCACTGTGGTACAGTAAATACAAAGACTGTAAAGTTTATTATATAACAGAAGAAACTGTATTTGAATGTTAGCTGTAAATGAGAGTTTGCAGTTAAGAAAGGCAATTTACACATCTCAAGATTAAGATTTTTCAGGAGTTAGAACATGAATATGACAAATTCTTTAAGACTTTTTTTTTTAAAAGATTTCATTTACGAGAGAGAGAGAGGAGTGTGAGAGAGAATGCACATGTACATGCAAGAATGGGGGGCAGGCAGAGGGACAAGCAGACTCCCTGCTGCGTGCAGAGAGCCCACACAGGGCTTGATCCCAGGACCCTGAGATCCTGATCTGAGCTGAAATCAAGAGTCAGATGTGTCACCAACTGAGGTATGCAGGGGCCCCTGAATACCACAAATTTGCACTGCATCTCACTAAAGTGACAAAGAACTTTAGAGAAATAAAAATATAAAAAATTAGATGCAAAATGATTTGTATGTAGTACTAGACTGCTTTGATTTCTACATTTTTACAATCTAGAAATTCCCAACACAGAAACAAAAGAACTAAGCTCTGATAGAGAGGTTAAAAGCCACCTGGATTCCTTACCTTGTCCCCACTGCTTTCCAGCCCACCCTGGAGAGAAGACCATATCATCTCTCCTGGACAAGTCTCCACTGAGCTGGAGAGGTGACACCAAGCTTTACTCAAGCTGCACTGCTCATTAATTTTGTATGTTTAAAAATGCCTATGGCCAACCAAGTTTTATAAATATCCCTAGGAGTAGTTTAAGAATGCTTAGCAATGCTAATTTATCTAGCTGTGATGAATAATAAGGAAACTAAGGCTTGAAACAAGGATCTATATTCATAAAATTCATCTGTACAAACTTCTACTGACCACCCCACCCTGTCTGCCAGGCATTGTTCATGCTATGGAGATGGAATGGTGACTGAAACAAAACACATCTTGCCCACTTGGTGCTTATATCCTGGCAGCAGGTCTCCCAAATTCTCTTAGGTTCTGTTTTTAAACTCTAGAAAAGATAATTCCTATATCACAGGGCTGACTTGAGGATAATATATTTTTCCTGGTATATGTTTTTTTATAGTCTGTTAAATCTTAACTACCCTAATTAATTAGGTTAATTTGAAAAATCGAGTTTTTGATTTAACCATTTTTTACTGAAAACTAAAGTGCAACATAAATATTAAAACTACAATCTAGTTCATGACTTCTACAAAACTGAAAAGTATATTCTCAATACAGGATAGAAGCAGCATATGTAGAAAAGATATAAGAATATACTAAATGCCATTTTAAAAGAATGAGAGATTGAATGGATTCTCAGAAATCATTATCAATGATTAGGCAATACTACTAAAAACATTTTGAGCATTTTCTATGTGCCAAGCCCTGTGCTAAGCAATTTATGTGTATTATCTCTTTTAGGCCACAGAGCAACCTTATAAACTAAGCACTTTTACCACTTCTATTCTACAGATGAAGACTCTATGGTGTAATGAAGTTATGTCGCTTGCCCAAGGGCCACAGCAGACTTGAGATGGATCCCATGAATTTGACACTCGAGCCCAGGCCCTCGATCATGTTCTAGGGACTGTGCTACAGGGGTGTATGAAAGGAAGAAATAAAAAGCTAGCAGAAGAAAACGCTCTAAAAAAACTGTATTTAAACTTTACTTAATAAGAAACAATCTATCACAAGAAGGCCAATTTTTCTGCCTCTAAATAAATAATTCTGAATAAAGCCAGGTCAAACACCATTATTTCATTTTTAAGCAGTAAGACAAACCCACAGTGCTTCAGACCAAAATTCCTTCTGGTGGACACTGAAGTAGGGGCATGAAGACACAAGGAAGATACCAATGACTTATAAGACAGCTAATAATGGGACCCTACTGTATATGAAACTCAACACTTCAGTGCTTTGAGGGTACATAACTTCATGCGATGTCCAAACAATTTCATTTGGTAAGCAGGGTAAGTGGTGTTATGGCATTTTACAGATGAGACTACTAACAACAGAGAAAATAAAGTACATGCCCAAGGTCAAATGTACTAGTGCAGAAACTAGGATTTCCAACACACAGTTCAGTGAACTTTCTACCACAGCCAGAGGAGAGCAATAGTGGAACAGAAAGACAGTGAAGCATGTCTCATTTAACCAGTTTATATTTCAAAGTATTAACCCATGAATCTTAAGAGTTCAATTCGAAGGCAAGCAAATATTTCACAATAATAGTAATTAAATAGTAATTAAATGTACTGGAAGCCTAACTTTTAAAAACTGTTCTCAGTTGGGCAGCCCGGTGGCTCAGCAGTTTAGCACCGGGTTTGGCCCAGGGCATGATCCTGGAAACCGGGGATCGAATCCCAGTCAGGCTCCCGGGATGGAGCCTGTTTCTCCCTCTGCCTGTGTCTCTGCCTCTCTCTCTCTGTGTCTCTCATGAATAAATAAAATCTTAAAAACAAAACAAAAAACCTGCCTTCAGAGTCTAACCCCTAAAGTCATTATTAACTATTTGTTTATATGTTGCTAGGGAGGAGAAAAAAAAATCAAAGAACTTATAAAAAAATTGTAGAAAAAGCTTAAAAGTTACTATTGATCACAACTGTTCATTTTCTAAAATACCATCTGAATTTTAAGACTAGGTAGTAAGACTTAGCTTTAAAGTAGATGAGTATAAAATAATTTGTCAAAAAAGAACGAAAGGTTCTTAAGGATATTTGCCCTGGCAGGTTGTTTGGTTAAAGGCCACCAAAGACACACGAGCACAGTCTGACAAAATTAATTCACCACAGGTTTAACACTATGTATATTAAAGACATACATTTTAAATATTTATGTATATCTCAACAATACATCAGAACACTTTAAAATAAATTTTCATTTTTTTAAAGATTTGTGAGACTCTGGAAGAAATGGATGCATTCCTAGAAATATATAAACTACCAAAACTAAAACAGAAATAGAAAAAAACAGATCCAGGGGATCCCTGGGTGGCGCAGCAGTTTAGCGTCTGCCTTTGGCCCAGGGCGCGATCCTGGAGACCCAGGATCGAATCCCACGTCGGGCTCCCGGTGCATGGAGCCTGCTTCTCCCTCTGCCTATGTCTCTGCCTCTCTCTCTCTCTCACTGTGTGCCTATCATAAATAAATAAAATAAAATAAATTTAAAAAAAAAAAAAAAACAGATCCATAACCAGCAAGGAAATTGAAGCAGTAATCAAAAATCTCCCAACAAACAAGAGTCCAGGCAGATGGCTTCCCAAAGGAGCTCTACCAAACATTTAAAAAAGAAGTAATACCTATTCTTCTGAAGTTGTTTTAAAAAATGGAAGGAAAACTTCCAAACTCTTTCTATGAGGCCAGCATTATCTTGATCCCCAAACCAGGCAAAGACCTCCCCACCAAAAAGGAGAATTATAGACCAAAATCCTTGGTGAATATGGATGCAAAAATTCTAAAGATACTAGCCAATAGAATCCAATAGCATATTAAAAAGATTATTCACAACCAAGTGGAATTTATCCCTGGGTTGCAAGGGTGGTTCAACATCCGCAAATCAACCAATGTGATTCACTACGTTAATAAAAGAAAAGACGAGAACCATATGATCCTCTCAATAGATCCAGAAAAAGCACTGGACAAAGCATAGCATCCTTTCTTGATTAAAACTCTCCACAGTGTAGGGATAGAGGGAACATACCTCAATATCATGAAAGCCATATATGAAAAGCCCACAGCAAATAATCATTTTCAACAGGCAAAAAAACAGAGCTTTCTTTTCTCCTAAGGTCAGGAACATGACAGAAATGTCCACTCTCACCACTGTTGTTCGACACTGTACTACAAGTCCTAGCCTCAGCAATCAGACAACAAAATGAAAATAAAAGGCATCCAAATCAGCAAAGTAGTCAAACGCTCACTCTTCCCAGATGACATGATATTCTAAGTGGAAAACCCAAAAGATTCCACCCCCAAATTGCTAAAACTCATACAGGAATTCACCAAAGTGGCAGAATGTGAAATCAATTGCATTTCTACATACTAACAATGAGAAAGAAAAAAGAGAAATTAAGGAATCAAACCCACTTACAATCACACCAAAAACCATAAGATACCTAGGGATAAACCTAACCAAAGAGGCAAAGGATCTCTGAAAATTACAGAACATTCATGAA